TATTATTATTATTTTAAATGTTTTTCTTTTTAAAATGTGAGTTCCAATAAAATTTAAAAACTAGATTCCAACCTGTAGATTAAAATGAATTAAAAAATACAAAATCATATACAACGCTCTCTCACAGGGATGGTACATGCCACGAGAACAAGTTTCTCCGTCGTGTGATATGAACAGGGATGCAGATGCCTTTTAGTCAGGAGACGGGGACAGGCCCTTTGGCCTTTAAAGGTCATGACAGACAACGCCACGTTGCTAGAGGCCTGGCCTTACCTCCCCTTGGGTAAGGAAGAGCTGCAGTCCCACCATAGATTCAGACAAGCTGGCTGACCCAAGAAGGTGGTCTCTGGCCAGTCCCACTCTTTCCCTGACTCTCAGGCATGAGGAGGAAGGCTGGAGCCTGGAGATGCTGGTCTTGCTGGGGTCAGGCCCAAAGATGACTTCACCCATTTGAGGCCTATGGGCTGGTACTTATCAGCAAAGCTGTTGTGTTCTCTTCAAAAAAGGAAAATAGCCCCTCTACCAGGAGCTGGACTGGGTATAGGGCCTCACTGCCACAGCAAGAAGACCCAAGGACTACGGATGCAGCCACAGGGAAGCAAGCGTTCTAGTTTCCCTTCCTGGCTTTGTGGCAGCCAGTCCCAATCACCTGGCCACTGGGCTGGACTCAACAGCACACAAGGTAGAAAATACCCATTGGAGAAAGTGAGGGAATGAGACCCAAGTCTGGCTCAGGCAAGGTTGGTTATGGAATGTTGAAACTGGCCTGCCAGGAAATTTAAAGGCAGGCCCTAGAACCATATAATGCCTAATTTCGGAAACAGGTTTTCTAGAAGGGGACGTGGACAGGTAAAGGACAAATCCTGCTGCCAATCTGGCACAACCAAAGGAGGCTGAGCTCTCAGAGGCTCAGTTGTGGAATCCAATAGCCTGGCTGGGTCTCCACTGTGATCCAGGTTTTGGAGGTAAGTCTAGCCTGGATTCTCCTGGGGCTGGACACCAGCATGGAGCCTGCCCCTCCACTGCCCAGCCTGCCCTCTCTGGATTCCCAGGCTTGGCAATCAGCTGGGGATCACATACCCTACAGTGCTGTGGAATACAGGGTGAAAAGCAGAGCTTCCAAGTGTACTGTCAACTGCAATTGAGGAGCAAATGCCATGATGACATCTCAGTGACTGATCCAGCCACAGTGCTGGGACCAAGACCTGTTCCCCTCTAGGCCTCCCTCTCTGGCCTCCCTCAGAGCAGAGCTGAGGGTCTGACATGCAAGGCTCCAGGCCTGATTCAGCCAATGCCTCTCTGGACCTCTGGCTGAGTCCTGTCTGCACAGTGAGGACATCAGAACTTGGTGACCAAAGGATCTGCATTACTCCTATGCTCCGTGTGATTCATTTCTGAAGGGTACTTGGAACAAAGCCAGCCTCTCTGAAGACACCCCCCAGATCTCTGGAACACTTTAGGTGGCCAAGGGTAAGAGCTGGGACAAGGAGGAAGGACCGCACAGTGTCTCTCTAGATCCTGGTCCTCAGCCTTGGGAAGAACAAGCCCAGGGACTGGATTCAGATGTACTTTTGGCCATTTAGGGCTACACCAGGTCCCCTGGAAGTGCCAACTTGCTGGGTCTGGAATAGTGGGCCGGCTCTCCATGGTCAAAAAGCAAGGGTACACAGGCTTCCTAAGGACATAGGTCTTTCAATGGACAGGTGCCCAGGGCTGCCCCTGAACACATCTTCAGTCCTAGGCATCATGACCTCCAAAGTGCTTTGCTCAAGTTAGGCCTCTTATTGCAAGTTCCTGTCCTTCAAGTGCTGCCAGCTGGAAATGCCTCTGGGATCCTCATAAAAATCCGCTCAACCGGGAAGACTGACTTCCCAGGTTTCCCTGGTGTCTTCCTCTGTTTAGGGGCAGACAGGTAGCCCATCCCTTCTGCATGCTGGCCACCGAGGCCTGCAGGTGTCAGTAGAAAGAGCAGAGGATTTGAAGAGTTCAAATCTTGGCTCTTTCTCTGATGAGCTGTGTGACCTTTGGCAACTCTCTTAAGCCTTCAGAGACTTAGTTTTTTCCATCTATAAATGGGAATTTTGGCAATCAATGTCAAAGTACTTCATACACAGACAATAAACTCTGGACAGGTGAGTGTCCTTTTTCAATATATAGGGAGGGGATATGCACTTTACAGTCACTGCCAGGAGAGAGAGGAAGAGCGACTGTCCTGTCTCACGAGGAAGAAAGGAAATCAATTTTTCCAAAATGTAGCAGAAAGATTAAATTTCAGGCTCTTAGCACTTGGGGGCACTCCAGCTTCCAGACTCCAGCTTCCTGGGCCCCAGGCTGAGGGGGAGGCAGGCAGAAGTGGGGGAAGCCGTGAGGGTTGGCTGGTGACTGGAACCACCTGTACCCCTAACCCTGCCCACCAAGCTTGTGGCACTGGCGAGAAGCAGTGGAATGGGGTGGAGAGAGGGCTTTGCTGGTGCCATGCTGCAGCTCAAATGTCATGTGGGCACACCCCTTGTCCTCTCTGGCTTGCTGGACTTCCTAAAATGACAGGGCCCCTCAAGCTCTGACTTTCTGTCCAGCTTGACCACTGGGCCATCCAGTATCTGTGGATGATGCTCACGGTACCTCGTGATGGATGCCTGTGATCCTACCACGTGCGCTCATCCTACCACAGGCACACTACTGCCTCGTTCTCCTGGGCTCTGTCCCTCTGCAATGATTCCCCAAGCTTGGCCAGGCTTGTGGATCTCCGTCAAAGCAAGAGGGTGAGGCCAGCTGAACTGGGGCTCCAGTGCTCAGACGGATCCCAGCCTTTCCACATCTTGTTTTTGCCTTGGGGTCTGTCCTTGATCTTGAATTACATACAAGGGCCAGGAGAGGGTGCACAGCATTGAGTTTCAGTCCACAAGCCCGTGTGTGGAGTCAGACTGGAGGGGAAGAGACCGCAGACTGGGATTCAAATGGCTCTGCCACTTACAAGCAAGTCACTCTGCCTTTCCAAGTCTCAGTTTCCTCATGGATCAAATGAGAGAATCGTCTGTTTCACGGGGTTAAACCAGATGACGGATATGAAATTGCTTTGTGAAAAACTGTGAGGTACTAGATGTTAGTTTATACATACTGGTACAGAATGAACAAAGGTAAAAAGGTAATTCCTAGATCTCTTTTCCCCTCCTCTGGTTCTGCCCCAGCCCATCTGGAGGCAGCGGGGTTCAGGGGAGCTTGTTGGGGTGCCAGCATTCTGCTCACTTTGGGGCAAGTTCCCTTTCCTGCTATTAAATAGGACCAGTTTCCTCATTTGTCAAATGTCTTTCCCTCAGGGTCAGTAAATTAAAGGCTGTGAAGTGCTCTGAAGTCTATGAAGCACCTGACAAATGCAAATGTTTCCTATTATTATTATAATCATTATTATTATTTTGGCATTTTCTAAACATGTATGACATAATCTAAAACAACCTTCACCCACCCTTATACAACCAGAGAGTAGGAGGAGGTATTTGCCAAAAAAAAAGAAAAAAGGATTAACACTGGAAAACTTTCTATTGTTTTAAACCAAAACCCTTTCAGCACCCCCGAGCAGACCGTTTAGAACAGCGGGGCTTCTCCCTACTGGTCCTGCATTTCCCAGGTGGAGGATGCTACTGGGCTGTGCACCCCTGGGAACAGCCAGATAGCCTCTGAGGTCCTCCTGGCCCAGGGGTTTCCTGATTACTTCCTCCTTTAGGGAGACATGGGAGGTAGGGGTAGGGATATATCCACATATGCATGAGTTTAAAATGAAGAGAGTTATTTAGAAGTTCTAAATGTTATCAATGATCCCATTTTGTACAGTAAAATGTTCCTGTGCACGCTGCCCCCCCCCACCCCCCGCCAACCATCCCCAAAGGGGCTGCTAGCCCAGCCAAGTGCCAGGTGCAGGGGGGCAGTGTTAGACAGCTGGGCTCCTGGCTGAGACCAATGGGGCCTCCTGACCCAGGGGTCCCTCTTCTCCCCAGAGAGCCCATGTTTCCTCCTCTCCTCTCAGGATGAGGGGCTACTGTCTTAACAGCATGGACTCTTTTTCAGCCAGTCCACCTGCTCCTCCAAGGGCTGGAGACAGGTATAGGATGAGAGGTCCAGATGTCTTCACAGAATTTCCAAATGCTATTTCCTCATTTGCAATTTCTGTTCCTGCCATCTGCCCCCATGTGACCTTGGCCAAGTCTTCAACCTCTGCCTTTGAAATCCATGGAGGAAAAGAGCAGAAACAAAAGCCCAGAGACTGTTCCAGAGCTCATCAGGTGTGGGCACTGCTGGCTTCATTTTTACAAAGCCAAGCCAATCCATCCCTAAGTAAATTTTTGTGGGCAACACGCCCCAGGCAGGAAGGTTGCATTTAATGCTAATTTACTGCAAGGTCTAGGGAAGTCCTTTCCTCTTCTCTGGGCCTCAGCTTCCTCATCTGTCAAATAGGGGAATGGATGAGATGATTGCTAAGGTCCCTTCAGTTCCATGAGTCGATGAAATGTTTATTGCTATTGCTTTTCCTTCACTATCCTGACCTCCAGAGCCACCAGCACCCACCTGGAATGTGGTTCCTTCACTTTGGCCACGAATGGCACAAGGTAACCGAGAACTTAGCCTGTCTGCCAGCGCCATGGACAGACGGGTGAGCCCTGGCTCTGGGAAGGACAAAGGGAAGGGAGAGAAATGCCACAGGTTTCCACTCTACTCAGGAGCAAGCTCCTCACCAGAGTGGATCCATGAAGGCTCAGAGGCCAAGGTCTAGAGTACACTGGGCACCTGGCCTCCGAGGCTTTGGGAAGCTGGGATCCCACCATCCTGCAGCTGCTTGGCAGGTCTGAGGTCAATAATCATCTTCTGAGGAAGTGCCAGGTCAGTTAACATCACTGTGCAAATTAGAGGGTCCAGGCCCAGACAATTTGGCCAGAGACCTTACAAGCCAAAGCCAGCAGGCAAGGGCCTCTCAACTCTCTTCCCTCTGCCTTCCCACAGTGCCCCCCTCCCCCCACCCTCCCTCAAGTTCTCCCAAAGAAAAAATCTGGTTTTCCCAGGTTCTCATCTGGGGTATTATTAAGCTGCTATGAACACTCCTACCTAATCAGGTGGTTTTGTTCTTGGTCTGTTGCAATGGTTCTCAGAAATATCAGAAGATATTTCATTTGTATCAGGATACAGCAATGTCTTAAACTAATCCTGCTTGAGAAAAATAAAAAAAGAAACCATCCCTCAGAGATGTGGCTTGCTCAACAGTTCTGAGTTCCTACCCTGGACCCAAGAGTCACATCCGCTATGCTCTTCAAAGGAAATTGCACCTTCAGCTGAACCACTGCAACAGACCCCACTCTCTGCCTGCCGCTAGACTAGGCTCCCAGGGCTTGATGCTTGGGGAAGGAAAGGAGCAGAGAGGATGTGCCTGGTCAGGTAGGAGAAGGGTGGAGCTGGGAGGGCAGCGGCTCAGAGAGGGGGACAGTGGGGAGAGGCAGGAGATTAGAAAAAGCAGCTTTTACAAAAACCAAAAATAAAAACCAAAACCGTTAAAGATGCATAAAGTGACCCTTGCACTTCCGTTGTCTCTTCTTGCAAATAGAGGCGGTGCTGCTAGGGAGCTGCTCCAGCACCTGTGTAAGACTCGAGTAGTTGCATACAATGTGTGACTCCAGGTCTGGGGGAGGAAGGGGAAAGCCATTAGTGACAGTGGTATTCCTGAGGCCCTCCAGGAAGATCCTGGACCCCCTCCCCTCATGCTGAGAGCCCTTAATGGAGTCCTCTGTGCCTTCCCAGTGGAGTGGCCCATTTCCCATCCAGTGCCGAGAGCTGGAGACAAGGAGGCATGGCAGTGATTTTCAGTGACATCCCTGGAGCCCTACAGGTCACTGGTACTGCCTCAGGATCTGCAGAGGACGGGGAAGCCTGGTGGCGAGGGTGACCCAGGGTTTCTGCCTGGCCCCAGTCAGAGCCAACATCTGACTGAGATAAAAGTTCACTGGAAGGACAGGCCCACAGTTAGAAGAAGTCTGAAGACCATACAGTAAACAGTACAGAATTTAGTACTAGAGGATTGGAGTTCAAGTCCTGGCTTAATTTTTACTAGTTAAATGATACTAAACTATGTATTCATCTGTAAAATAGTGAAGATCCTTGCTTCACAGAGCTAATGTGCAGATCATGAGATAACATATGTAAAGTATCTAGAATATAGAGAAATGACAGCTATCATAAAGAGTGATATTGCTGAACCTGGAGCAGGAAAGCAACTAGTAACTGTCACCTACCCCCTGTTGACACCTGTGCTGCAGGCCAAGCCAGGGGCTTTGAGATAGTTCTGCTAGTTGATCACCCTCCCACCTCTCCCACCCGGGCCCCACTCACTTGGATGGGCGCAGGCTTTACCAGTGTGGGGGCACATAGCTGTACGCAGGGGTCCCTTGGGCCCTGTATGTTGGCATGGAGACAGGGTGTGCCCCAATCGCGGTGTGCTGGGGTGCAGTCAGCAGGGTACCTGAGCATCCAGAAGGAGAAGACGAAACCTGATGAGGCCATCCCAGGTGCTGGGATGAAGAGGATGAGCCATGATCTTTCACACAGCTGCTCCCCACCTACTCACGAGCTGCCGCCCGCCCTTCCCCACTTTGCCAGGAACGGTCTCCCAGGGGAAACCTTCCTGACACTTCAGGACAGTCTCCAGGGGCCTCCTTTCACTCTCCTCTGTGTGCTCCTCTCACTGCACATCCCACTGAGAGGTGTCTGCTGCTTTATGTGGTGGTGGTCATTCCCCTAACCAAACTGTTCCTAAGGGTAGGCCTCTGGTTTGATCTATCAGTATTTGGTCCCCAGGACCCAAACAACAAGGCTGGCACCCAGCAGATCTGCATCAGCTTGCTGACCTGATCTGGGGAGTGAGAGGCCTCAATGCTTACATTAGGGGCAGAGAAAAATCCCAACTCCCACCTCCTGCCCACTCAAGCCCTTGTACTCTTTCCCCAGAAGGTGACCTCGCTGATTCTCTGAAAGTTGGGTCTCTAAAGGTTATTCAGAGCCCTCTTGTCTTCTCATGCTTTTCTTTGAGTGCCAACTCATCCAAAGACTTCCCCAAACCTGCTTTTCCTCTGGTGTCTCTTCCTAACTCCATCCTCAGGGCTTCTGGAGTAAGCCATAAATGGAGACGGGGCCTCCTAGACTCCTGTTTCTCCCAAGACTCGCGATTAATTACTGGCCAGGTCCCGAAGCTCCCGCCTGCTAAAGAACATTGCTCTGTGCCCTCCTGTTTGGAACTCTGCAGCTAGCAGAATCCTAGCATCATCATCTCTCCTCTAAACCACAGCCTTCCCCCCATATCCCCTCTACCCACCTATCTCCACCTTACAGTCAGAGAGAATGATTAGACAAACCCTATCTCTCCCGTGCTTAAACCTCTTTGTTAGCTCCCTGTTACCTAGGTATTCGAGACTCTCCATGACTTTATCTCTGACAACTGCTCTAGCCACCCTTCCAACTCCATGCTCTCATTTTCTAAGTGATTTAGACCATGTCCATTCTGTGAATGTGCTTTACTCATGTTCTCTCCCCTGGACTGCCCTTTCCTCTTTCATCTCTCTGATTAGCCTCTGTTCACCTTCTAAGGCCTAGCTCACTACATCCTCCATGGTGAAATCTTCTACAGCCCTGTGGGCAGAGTTAGAGGGTCCCTAGAACTCCCAGGCACAGGATTCTTCATGTTATGCTACAGCCGATTCCATGACTGTGTCTTCCACTCTGTTGTGAGTTCCTGGAGGAAGGGGATGGACACTGACATAGATGCTGCCCTTACCTGCTGACATCGCCATGGTGGTGCCGGCCACCATTCCCATGGCCACGCCGTTGGTCCTGGGAGCGGCGACAGGCGCCGGGTAGATGGCAGAGGGAATGCTGTTGGGCTGGACGACCGTGGTGTGGTGGATGACATGGGGCTGGGCAGCATACACCGGCTGTGTATAGTAGGCTCCCTGGGGGAAGAGGGGCTGAGGTCACACCAGCTTTTGGAGAGGTGGGGAGGGGAGGGGAGCCTGTCTCAAACCTTACAGGATGGTGTCTGAGAATCTCTGGCCCAGGGACACAAGGTCTGGGGCTCTGCTCGTGGAAGTACTGTGCTGGTGTGAATGCTACCATTTTACATACTGGAAAAATGTCCTAAATACAGAGCACTTCCCCAAATGTCTCTTACTATCTATTTCCCTTTAGGCAAAAAGACTGAAGATGGAGACAATGGTCTGAAGTGACACCCCACTGCCTGGATCACATGACTGCTTTCTGCCATCACAGCCCACAGGTCTGCTGACCTCTGGGCAGAGTAGACAGAGGGTCTGGATCATCTTAATCCAGAGCTTCTCAAATGCTTCTACTAAATAATAACAAGAGCCTCTGACTGTGGACTGAGGTAGAGTGAGGGTGTGTATCGGCTGCAAGGTTACTGCTTCAGTGACACAAGAGTGACAGCTGATCAGAGCCACAAACTCTTTTCCTCCCCCTCCACCCCACCTACCCAGGCTGGTGGCTCCTTTACCTGCAGAAGAGGTAAACCCAGGATTCTACATATACCTACCTGGGCATACAGATTCTGCTGGGGGTAGGCACTTCTGATTGGATACATGGCCGTCTGGTAGGGGTTGGGTGAAGGGGAGTAGGGGGGCGGAGCAGTATTACTCTGGGTCGGTGGGACCTTGTATGGTGTCCCCGCAGTATATCCTGTACCAAGGCAATAAGAGAAACTTCCAATTAGTTGGCAGAACAGCATCGCTGGGAGGCAGCAGGTCCCAGTCACAACTCCCCAGACAAGCATGGGCTGAATCCAGGCTGGAAACACAGATGGGAACAGACAGAGTACAGGGCTCCGCCCAGACAGCCCTGGCCCCAGAGGCAGCTCCCTCAGTCCTGGTGCATAGGGCTGCATGCGTGGCATCTTTCAGAGCCCTGAGACACAGATAAGAGGCTGGGACCAGATGATCTCTTAAGGGGCCCTGGAAACTCAGACAGTCTGGGATTCTGAGCCCTGTACCAAGAGACAGGCAGGTACACGTGGGCGGGAGACCCTCAATCTGCTTGCTCTACACTCTCTCTTCTTGCTTTTTAGTCTCCTCACTCAGTACCCTGGGGCATCTGCTGCTGCTGCTTCTGTCTTGCTTTCTCCCTTACTCTCTCTTTCCTCCTTATATCTCTCTCCTTTTATGGATTGCTCTCCACCATACTCTTCTTCCTCCCTGTCAAGTTTTAAGGTGGAAACCTCATACAAAACACCATTCAGAGATCCTCCTTTTCTGAGATGCTAAAAAACTTTGCTCTACACGGCTGGCTTTTCCTCCCCTCCTGGGACTTCGGGGAGGGCCACTGCTGCTCGAAAGACTGAAGTCAGGATCAGAAAGATTCACATTGACCTGGAACCCAGGCCACGTCTGGTCAGCAGGGTGGACAGAAGCTGGGGCGGGGGCTGAGAAGTCAGGCTCTAAGAAGTTCAAAATCAGCCATTCACACAAACTATGCTGCCTTTGAATTTCTGGAAAAGAGAGTCAGATCCTAAGTTCATAGGAAAAACTTGAAACATAAATCACTTGGGAACAAGGCTATGTCCTTAGAGAATCCCAACATGGAATGATTCTATGGAAACTGAGTGATCATCAGGTAGCCCCACTCTCTTATGTTATACAAAGGGATCCTGAGGTTCAGAAAGGGCAAGTCTTTCTAGGAACGTCACCTTCTCTCTGAGTTGAAGGGACGGTGCCAGGGGACCTTGGCTTTGGATCTCCAATGGAGTGTTGCTGGAGATTCTTTCCTGTGGCCCTCCATCCTGATTTGGTCTGGCTGACACATCATGAAACCTCTCTTGGCTTTAGGTCTTTTGCCTACAAGACACTCAACAAGGACCCATTCAGTAACATGGAGCTGTTTTTACAAGAAGGAACTGGAGGCAGAGTAAAGAAGGTGCTTTGCTGGAAGAGAAGGGGTTCAGGCTTCAGCCCAGGCTTTCCTTCAATTTGCTGTAACTACTGCCAAGTCTTTGGGCCTTAGTTTCTTATTTTGTAAAATTAGAAGACTAAGAATGAAGATCTCTTCCTGAACTAAAATCCCATTGTTTTAAAGACAGTGGGTCTCTTCTACCCTAACCCCCATTTAAAGCAGGCTGCCATACAGTCACAAATCTCTCTCAGGTCACACCACAGCTTGGGCATACCCTGATGAGGTACTCAGGAGGATGTGAGAGCTACTGTGTAGTTACCACACAAGGCACTACTAAAAGGTGTCCTGTCCTCTCCCTTGGTATCATGCCGTTTATCTTTCCACCTGTAGATTCATAGTTTGTTCTGTGAAAAACTGGAGAAACTGATTTTGTGGTCAAACATGCTTGGGAAATAAGCAGCAATGAGGATGGAATGGAGAAAAATACATTAATGAGAAGAGAGCATTGATAAGAATTAGAAACCAACTGGAAGTGGAGATGTGAGTCAGTTGAGGAAGAAGTCTACAGCAGATTCCTCCAAGATTCTAGATTGTACAGCTAATCATGAAATGTGGTCCAGGAGAAGCAGATACTGTGGGGAAAGTCAAGGAGCGTAGGTTTGCACATGTCTAGAAGGAACCGTTTGAGCTGTACTTCAACCAGAGACAGTTTACTTGTCTGTAGAACAAAGGAGATTCTCAAGATGGGCATGTCCCAAGAGCATGGACTATGATGCTAAGGGAGTCTAACTGCTATTCTGCCCCCTCCCCCCAAAGAAGAAGATGAGAGAAAGGGAGAGAAGAGGGGAGGAGGGAGAGGAGGAGGAGAAATATAAAATAAGAGAGAAACAGGTTTTATTCCATGACAGTAACAAGTTTTAAAGTGATAGGATGAACTGTGAATCTCAAAGGATAGGCATATGCAGGAGACTATTTCCAGATTTACCACAGGATCTTTTATTCATACTATTTACATTTGAAACATGCAAACCACAATTTTTGTTTGTGTGACTACAGCTTGTTTTAGTAAATCAAGTTTTACTGTAATACAGCCATGCCCATTCATTTACATACTGACTATGGCTGCTTTACTGGCTGAATGGTAGTTATGTCAGAGACAGCAAGGCCTGAAAAGTCTAAAATATTTACTATCTGTCCCTTTACAGGAAAAGCCTGTTAACTCCTGACTTAAAGAAATAAAACACTATGGGGAGTCCTGCCAGAATGGAGAGCACCCCTCTTCCATGCAGGAGGGCTGGACACCCCCGAATCCTAAGAATCCCTATCTCTGAAAGCTATATAGCATAGGGTTATGGTGATGAGCAGTCTGGAGCCACACTGACTGCCTGGGTCCAGCTCTTCTACTTAACAGTTGTAGAATACATCAGTTTCCTCATCTTTAAAATGGGGATAATAATAATATCACTTACTTCATAGGGTTATAGTGATGAATACATGAGTAAGTGCAAAGCCCTTAGAAGAATGCCTGACACAATAAGAATAGTTCATATAGGTTACCTATTAATCCTTTCTCTCTCCCTGTATAGAGAGAGAGTAAGCTTCCTGTCCTGGGAAGTATACAAGCAGAGACTGGTCTGAAAGATGACAGCAGACAGGAAGCTAAACCATGACTTTCATGGTGGGATCCAACTTGGAACACAGAATTCAGGATTCTAAAAATTTTAAATTTAATGGTTTTAAATGCCATGATTTTAAGATTCTTTAAAGTTAACACACGAGTGGTTCCAGACTCTCCTTTATGCTCCCAGAGAATGTGTGCTCAAGTTCTATCCCCTGGGAAGCTTGCACTCACCTTCTGTGTCACAAGGACAACCACATCGCACAAAGTGTTGAGACTGTCCCTCTTAGGGAAATCAAGAGGCGCCCAGAGACTGCAGTAGAATTTGGTTTCTACATCTAAGAATAACCTTGTCTGAGTGTTTCCTTTCTTCACGTTATGAAATAGACACACATGAACTCAGAATACAAATCAGTTTTGCCAAAACACCCTTGGTAGCCAAAATGATGATGCTGGAGAAGGCCTTGCCTATTTGTCCAGAGAGGTTGAGAAGGGAGAAGCAGAACTGCAGAGCTAGAAGATATCTTAGAGATCATCAAGACCAGCACAAACGTTTCACAGATAAGACAACGAGAGCAAGTGAGCGACTGCTCATGAGCACCCAGGACTCGGTGCTCCCTCCTCTAACTACAGTCCCAAGTCCTGGGCTTCATCAGTGAGTCAGGTCAATTCTTCTCTTAAGGAATACTTTCACTGGACTAGATAATATCAGAAGATCTTTCCAGTGCTGATACTCTAAGCTCTGAGTATTTCAGTGAGACTTTAATGAGAAAATCCTTGCAAAGGACATTCCGTAACTGACTGATGGTCCTGTCCACACCCTTGAGGATCACTGGAAATTCCCCTGGGCCTGTAGCCTGGACTACCTCAAGTATCACAGAATTCAGGGTTTATTACTTTATGCACCTAAATTAAAATAAAAAAAAAAAAAAAGCTGCTGGACTTGATACAAACAAAACAAAACCAAGTCAAAACAAAGACTCATTGATTTTGCTCAAATGAACTTAAGACTCAACTCATCACTTGAGGCCTGGGTCTCCTGAAAAGAGTCCTACCTAAGTCTGAAGGTTACAGAACTAGGACTTCGGAATGCTATCCCTTAAAGACATTAGAGACTTGAATTCAGTCCTCTCCAATTCAGGTGAAGAATCTAGAGCCCAGGGGAGCAGCAACTTTCCCAGAACTGCACAGCAAATCAGTGCAGAGCTGGGCCCACAGATCAGGGCTTACCGTGCCCTGGGCAGAGTTCCTTTTTGAAACATATGTCTGTCTCTGTAGTCCAATCTTGGACATCTGGTATATTGGCCTTGTGTCCCCATTTCATTAAAGGCAATATTGTGAGAGAAAAAAAGGAATTCAATCACTAGCAGTCCCAGCTCTGTCTTTTGAAAAAGGCTTTGTTTATGGTACCCTATTCTTTCTCTCAGGTTCCTAACTATAATTTTAAACTCCATCAAATAGGGTAATAAAGAGAGCGTGTATATTAGCAAGATAAAACCTTTATAGCCCTCTCTTTAATCCTTCTGCACTGTCACAAATCTTTTTCAGCTGGAGAGCCCCTACCACTTTCAAATGCACTGATGCTCACATCAAGGATGCCTTTTAGACTAATCAGTTTATTGACTATCAGATTTATATGTCTGGACAAGGCTCTATGTATGAGACTTGCCTTGACCCCCAAGTCTCCTTGTTGGCAGCTGAACAAGAGAGTGTGGATTAAGTAGGAGGGAGACCTAATTACAAACAGGCTTAGCAAGTGTTAGTGAAATTAAACTGAATTTTTCAAAGTGTCCTGACTTTTCTCTGGTATTAGAAGCCACAAAATCTGTGTGCTTGGAGAAACCCTGGGGGGATATGGGAGGACAGTCAATCCTACCTCTATCTATAAATTATAAGAAAGGGGGTACGCCTTGGACATTTCCAGTGACTGTGAGAGCCTGTGAGAGGACAGTGAGCTATAGCTACTGGACAGTACAGTGGAACTTCAGGAAGAGGTTAGCATGGTGAAAGGCAGGGCCTTCTAATACAGAGACTTCCTTGCTGTGGAAAGGACTGCCTCAGGAGGGAATGAATACGCCACACTTGAAGACGTGTGAACAAAGGCTAGTTGGCAGCTGGAGAGAAGGCCTCTGACAGGGTGGAGGATATTGAGTATACAGCACCAAGATGACCTAGTCTAGCCCCCTCATTTTATCTTTAGAAAAAATAAGGTCCAAAAAAAAAAAGAAAAGAAAAAATAAGGTCCAAAGCATGGGAATTATCCAAGGTTACACAGAACCAAGTCTAGAATCCAAGTCTTTTGGTCTTCTACTCCAGGTTTCTTTCTGCTACGCTACAGTAGGTATGTCTATATGCATGTACCTAATTATGTGCAGATATAAGAGAATATGTATTATATGCCCATGCACATATATTATATCATAGGTATCTGGAAAAACTCCCTATTGCTATTGTCCCTCCCTTAAAAAATAGCAAAATTAATCTCAAGAAAAAAGTCAGTAACAGAAACTTATCCTGGGTGATACCTTTCTCCAGTTATGCTGTGTTGGGCATATTACCTTTCTGAGCTTCAGCTTTCAAACTAGAATAAAAATCCACCCAAATAGGACTATCATATAGATTAAATGAGAGGGTGATCATGAAAGCATATTCTTCAAAAGGTGAGCGTTATGTTGTATAGACTAGTTTATGTTGACATGAAGGGGCAATGATAACTAACAAGAAAACAACATTTTAATGAAAAACTTTAAATACAACGTATTCTTCTAATTTACTTACTTAAACAGAGTAATACTTCATTGAACCCCAGACCACGGGCCTAGTCTATGACATCCCCCTGAGGGCCTGACCAGCCCATGTTGGTACAACTTAAGAGACAGGCGCTTACCACATGCAAAGCCAGCTATTCCTCTTTTGGACAGCTCCAAGAAAGCATGAAGATTTTCCTTACACAGTCAAAATGCCACTCAGTAATTTCTGAACACTGGCCCTCATTTTACCTAGTGGTGTCATTTTGTGTTAAAAATCAGAGGTGAAAGCGAAACCATCGGTCACTCCACTGAGCCTTGAGTGAATGGGACCCATCTGACCAGCCAGACCAGTTTCCGGCCTCCACCAGGACCCTCTGCACTTACATTGCTCCCATAGTGTAGCTTCCATGCAAGGGGCAGTGTTTCTCAAGCAAGGGGCAATTTTGTACAACATAGCCACCTCGCAACTAAGAATTATCTGCTTCTGATGTCCACGGTGCTGAGGCTGAAAATCCTTGTGCTAGCTGGAGAAGGCCCCTCTGTCCAAAAGTCCACAAGCCTTTATACTGCCCTCTGTCTTTTCCCCTGAAATGCAGTAACAGTCCTTCCCTCATCAAACTTAGCAGATGAGTACTTCCTTCTCTCTCCCTCACTGCTTTGTGTCTCCTCAAAGTGGGGTGCATGATTAAAGAGGATGACTTTTTCCTGTATGAGGCGGGCCAATTTTTTGGTGGGTAAGAGAGAGAACCTCTTAAAACACTGTCTTACAAATATCAATTTTAAAAGTTCCCTTTCCTTTCTTCCTAAGAGACAAATCAGTCCCAACCAAGGGGAACAAGGAAAGGAGGAGACAGGCTGTATTTACTGAAAGCCGCAGAGGATGCTTGGTAAGTTCGGTTCTCGGTCCCGGTGTCCACTGGGAGGTGGAAGGTGCCTTCAGTGCCACAGGAAGACGAGTTCTGTGGCCAGGCCTGTTTCATCAGCAGAGTTGCTTAAGGGAAGACACAAGAATGGCATTAGGCAGAAATAAGAAGTGGGCACCACCAATCACAGACACAAAGCAAGGGTCTTGGGCTGGACGGAAACATATAACCCAAGGGGCCCCATTCAGACACACAGGATGGTTCAGCCTTTCTGAGATGGGTGAGTGGTTGGGAGGAGTGCTGAAATGAGCTTCTAAATGATATGAAGCTGAGGAAATCTGACCTTACACTAATCAGGAGAGTCGGGATTTTCTACCCACTACTAAAAGCATGACAATGCTTATGAATACCATCTTCTACTGTCTGGCATTCTGGCCTAAGGATCTGAGATATACCTTAGCCACTTTCTTGTTAATGTATAGCAACTAGGAACCTTTGACTGTGTATTGGACCAGATCAACTGAATACTCCTTTTTCATGCCTGAAATCTCAGCTGGCGGTGTATTTAACAACTGCTTTCAAAGAGAGACCCTAGAATGCTAATTACCACCTGACATGAACCTTGCTGGACTGCCATCTCTTGTGAAGGGACTGAGCTTTCGCAGCGTGGAAGGCACAGGCTGTCCAGCAGGACTCTCCCTGCAAACTCTCCTGTGCACCTAGCGGGGACCAGGCAGACAGACCTCTGGCACACCCTTTATGCCTCCTGCTGCAGTGCTCCACCTGAGACACGGCCTCACGAATTAGAAATGAAATCTTCTGGGCCATTAAGAAAGCAACTGTCAAACTTAGAGTAGATGTGAAATAGAGATGAGGCCCAGTTTGAAAGAAATCTGCAGAGACTTTCCAGGCTGACTCAAAGCTCAGCTTGAGAAATTTGAAGAATGATGCTTCCTATGTTCTAGAAGTGGGGAGTGACTCAAAAAACTTACCTTCATGTGTCCTGTAGGCAAGGAGAGGAAATACAGTTTCAAAGGAGGGGGGTGCCTAACATTTTAGGTATCTCCCTTGATCTATTTTCAAACACTAGAGGAGAAATATTCCTGACACAAATTTCTACTTATGACTAAAAGATGATTTTAGCAGTATCTTTTCCACTGAAATAAGGTCTTGGGAGTCATGGATATGGGGTGTTTTAAAGTATATTAGTATTGGCAACAGTTGGATATACTTGAAACATTTTAACAAGAGGCTGAGGTAGACAGGGTAGTATGAGAAGAAAATTTGCCTATACTCTCTCATTCCATCAGGACTAGGATAGTCCACTCCAGACACACTCCCATAAACCCCTCTGCCTGTCCAGGTAACTGGAAAAGCCTCTGTATCCTTCAGTCATCAAAGTACTGGGGCCAGAGGAGGAGGTCAAAGACTCTGCTGTTTTAGTTGAACCGAGGAAAAGAATGTAGCTGTTCTGGGCTGACTCTGAGCTTGCATCAATGGCCCGCAATATATATAGCAGATGCTGAGAAATGAGAAGGAAATCATGGGCAGGGAAGTGACACTAAAAGGAGAATTCTGATAGAAGAAATGGAGATCCAGCAGAATTCCATGCAGAGTCCAGGGCCTTTGCTGGACAATACATCATGACTCTGCAGATAACACAGGAGGAGGGCAGACAATTTTAAACAATTACCTTGAGTTTCTTTTCCTGAGGGTCAGGGGTGGGTGAAGTGGCGGGGATTAATAAAGGAACCAATTAGTGCTGAAAAATCCTATTAAGATGGCTCCAAGTTTAGAACCTGCCACTCCACTTGGCTGGAAAGCCCTGACCACCTAAATCAACTCCCTAAAAAATTAAAACACTCAGCTCTAGGAAGTCAGACAGAGCAAGCTCAGGCCCTCAAGACTCCACAGGAATCTACCAGAGAGCAGGAGCCTGAAATCTGTGGAGAATTTGGAGGTCCTATTCTGGTCCAGTTTTTAACACAAATGGTGCATACTTTACCATAATTTTAACCATAAACCAGAAGTCTGACATTAGCCTGAAGGACCATGTGACAATTAAAGTCAGTCAAAGTCAACCAAAGAGCGACTGAGGCCTACACTGCACTCAGCACTGAGGGGAGTGCCACGGTGGACAGGAACGCACGTGGGTCACGGGCACCGCACACGAGGTTATTTATGGTCTAGCTGGGGATGCAACACAGCCACACGCCAACCAGAGAGTGAACAAGACAGCATCACGCACAGCAAAATAATGTTCCAGGTTAACCAGGAAAGAAGCAAGTGTGACTGTGCCTTTGATTATGTGTTTCCCAACTGAGCTAGTGAACTAAACTATATGTGTTTATGAAGAAGTGGATATTTTTTTCTGGTTTCATTATAAAGAACACAAAAACTAATATTTCTGTAGTTTTCTATATATATGAATATATAATAATCTAAGTAACTGGAAAAATTATGAAGACTAAAAACAACAAATAGCAGCTGTCAATTTGCTTTCCTCACTAGTTAAGATATACCATATGATCTTCCTTGTCCATGTACAATTCTAAAGTAACCTGTTGCTGGCAGCGATTCAGAGCTGTTGTGGGATGAAGACAATCCAACTAAAGCTTTGAGAGGCATGGTGATAGAGAAGGCTGCTCTGACAGGCATGCCTGTTCCTGGTGCCATTAAAGGTACCAACTCCTAGAAATGATCTATATTTTGAATAAATACATGTGTATATATTTGTCAAATATTATTGAGGTGCACCTGTGAGACTTGTGCACTTTATGGAGTGCTGTATATGTATTACTCCTCAATTTAAAAAAAGAGAGAGAACCCATGGCAGTGAAAGGCCACGGCCCAGTCACAGCATGCTGCCCACGTCCAAGTGCTGGGTTGTTCACATCCCTGGACACGGGGCCCTCACGCCCTCTGACACTTGAACAATCTGTTAAGCACACTTACAAGGAGGAGAGGCAGCAAGGGACCATCATCCTGAACAATGTAGTGTGTCGGGAAATCTGAGTTCTGGCCTGGGCTGTGCCACTTATTAGCTGTGGGACCTTGGGCAAGTCACTACACCTTTCTAAACTTCAGGTTTGTTGTCTCACAATATGACAATAAATAACCACTACTTGATTGCTTGATAGCACTGATTGTGAGGATCAAAAATCAAGTATCCAGTCTCACGGTTTCTAATTCTGGTGTTTGATGACTCCTCCATCCTCACAGGTGTGGACAGCTCCAATGGAAGCTCTCATCATCTCCTACCTGAATTATTGCAACTGCTTCCTCAGTCCGTTTTTAAACCTGCTAACTCCAATCTCCAAGCTGCAATCAGAATGATATTTCTAAGACCTACATCTAATCACAAAACCTTCTTTCTTAAAAACATCCCACAGTCCTCCACTACCTAACTCCTTGTGTGGCATTTAAGGCCCCTCAAGATCTAGTCCTATGATCTCTCTAGATTCTTTCTGTTCTCGCTCTCAAACCCTACACGTCAGCCACACAAATCGCTCACCATTCCCAGACAATGCCAAGAAGCATCATTTCTCTGTGTTTTTGCTCACACTGCTCACTCTTCTTGGTTGGTCTTTCCCCAGATGCTACCTGGTAGACATTTATGAATCCATCAACTGTGAGCTGAAGACTTGCCTCCGCTATGAGGTCCTTTTCTCCCCCAGTTCTTGACCATACTTCTCTTGTGTGCCCCATTTGGTTCACTACCCTAGTTCCTGTGTTTCTTAGAAGTTCCCTGCTGGTTTGTCTATCTTCCCCTGTTAAATGGTGAGGTCCTTCAAAACAAGAACTCTGTCTTACTGAAGTCTGCAGCTTTAAAGGGCCCTGGCTTAGGGTCTGGAACAGAACCATCTGTGAAGAGAAGAGCTCCATACTACTCTTAATATTTCAGATGCTACAACTGCAGGGGAAAGGAAGCAGGAGTGCTTCTTTCACTTTCTATGGAGACTTCTGTTCAAGTTCATATAGTCTGAGGCAAACAAAAATGACTCCTCATAAACAATAAGAGAAACAGGTCTGTGACTAGCAAAAATGAAATAATAAGATTTTAAGAGGGCCTTCTATTAGCATTTAAAGGGACCTCAGAGATCATCTGGAATAAAACACTTTATCTATGGCCTGGAGATATTAGCAAATTGCCCAAGATCACGCAGCCCACAGCAGCATAAAGGAGATTTTCACAGCTCATCTCCTAAAAGATGGGCCACACACAAATTTAATTTTCAACATCCAAATAATTCAAGGTTAAAAGTTGAGAAAGTGTGCAGAGACTTTACAAAAACATTGTCCTGAGCAGCCCAGGCAAGGGTGGTGAAAGCGACAAGTCCCCCCTATGGTCCCTTCCTGTCTATGACAAAAAAAGGACCTAGTCAAGTTACACTGCTGGGACCCTCACAGGTGCCCAGGAGTTCCCGTGGTGCCTTGGGCCTGGAGTCCACACTGCCCAGAGAATCCAGCTCTGGTCCCTGGTTTATTAGCACACTTGACCCTCACCTCTCACCATCCAGGAAAATGCCCCCAGATGAGCCAGAGCTCAAGATCTGGGCTGAGGGAATAGATGCATCTAAAGTCAACCAGGTCTTTAAACATGTGAGACTGCCAATGGAGACAGGAAAATCTGATCCTGGGCAGACTGGTTTTTTGTGTTCTTACAGGCATAATCCAGGTATTCCTCCACAGGTGCTGCCATAGAGCCCACAGAGGAGCCATGGAGCCCAGGAATTTTTATTCACTGGTTTGAATGCAGCAGTCACAGGGTGAAGGTTTCTGACTTAGGTCAGATGGGACCCCGGAGGTGAGGAAAGGGAGAGACGCCTTTTAGTGCCATGATCCTTCACTGCTGCCCTAGGGGACGGTTCATGTGTGTCTCCAACCCATGATTTTGCACCATCAGACATGTTCCTGCATGCTTTAGGAACTGCTGCTGAGCCACCTGGGGGAGCCCAAGCCTAGGGGATGGGATTTGGGGAGGAAAGGAAAGGGGATCTACTGTTGTTACGAGATAACACATTCATAGGCCATAATACAGATGAGGAAAAATAGCTTTCCTACCATAAGCTGAATGCAGGAACTGAAACTCTGTTGGATAGAAATGTTAGTTGAAATTACCACTAAGAATCTGTGCAAAGTAGTACATATTGCAGTTACAAAAACAGACTTTGTCTCAAAATAGCAGTTTCCCCCGGGCTACATAAGAAAACCGTGAACACAGAGGGTACAAAGTACCTCCACCCTAGAGAGGGTGACAGACTTGCCATCCAGGAAAGCCCACTCACTGGGGAGCGGTACCCTTTGGATACCACGACATCTTCCAGGCAGCTGACCCAGAGCTGCCTGGATACATACGTCCAAGTTCCTGCTCTTTGCTTGTTTATGCTAAGAATAAATTTCAGTTCTCCCAAGCATTGCAGAGGGACTTCACACATGACAGAGGCGGTATGTGCTGGATAAAAAGCTAAAGGTTTAGGGACAAAACCACCATCTTTGGTCTCTGAAGAGCTCTTATAAAGTGCTGGAGGGCTAGGACCAATGTAGGGGCACTTCATTCCCTAAAACCTCTGGGACAGTGTGCTGCTGTAGAAGGGGCACAGACTGTGGGCCGTCAGACTGGCTTTGAATCTGAGCTCCACTGCTCTTTAGCTGTGCAACTTTGCACAAGTAATTTTACCTCTCTGAGCAAAACTGGAGACAAGAAGCTCTAACTCACAGGACTGTAGGGGAAAAAAAATTGTGACAAGACCTGCATGGTGCCTGGATCATGGCAGGTGTTCAGAAAACACAAATTCCTTCCCCTTCTCAGGTTCATCTTATGCACAATGGGAATAATGTATCTACTCTAGAAGGCTGCTATGAAATCAAGTGCAACAACAGATGACAATGATTTATAAAGATTTTTTGTGAGGAGGTATTTCATTTTATCTATGTTAGTTATTCTGTTTTTCCTTTTGCTTCATTTTCAAGTCAGATTACTGTTAATATGACACATCCTTTGGTCTCTAGATTCTGAAAACAAGTCTCTGTTGGCTATACCTCCTGCGGGGCCAAATTTAAAGAAGATCTCTCAAGTCATTAGAGCTTGGAAAAAAGCTCCAAGTACCCAAGCTGCTTTCAAAACCAATGAAGGAGTGAAACATTTCCTTGCATTCTGGACAGATGACATCTTAGGGTACTCAGTGCTGCTATAAATAGCTCTTTTTGAAGCAACTTCTTTGTTTCCTTGAAGAAGCTGAGAGAAATTTCAACCTGAGAGCCTGGTTCTTCTGCAGGCGTCTATCCTGTAGCATCTTTCAGCATCACAAGTGGCAGCTCTGGCAGGAAGCTGAGAGCACCTACAACATCTTCACTGTCCTTGAGTCAGCACCTCCACCGCAGTCAAGAGACCTGGAAACGCAGAGGCCAGCCTCCCACCGTACGCCAGAGACCAGCTGTGTGCATACGTAACTCCAAAGACAAAAGGATCTGCCCAAGGTCACACCAGTATCAGTAGCAGAGCTAGTGCTACAAGCCTGGTCTTCCAACTCCCAGTTTGGGGCTTTCTGACACAGCATGCTAATACCACCCTGTCTAGTGGATTGTGTGGGTTTCTCAGAAAATGGTTTGGTCAGAGCTTAGATATATATTGATTTTTAAAAATGCAAAATTGGGGAAAATCAAGTAAGATGTGGGTTGATATTCTGCGTGCATTAAAATTAAAACTTAATCAGTACTTTATACATGCTAGGAGCTTTTCAATCTATCCATTCTCCCCCACCCCACCGCCCCAGTCTCAGATTTTTTTCTATCTGCTCTCCCTTCTCTCTCTCACCTGACTGCTCTAACATCTCAATTTCGCTCTAGTCAACTGCAACTATAATGTGGTTAAGAGTGCATGCGGATGTGGTGGCTGGATGCCTAGATTGGGATCTTTGGGCTAGTTCCATTAACTTCAAGTTTTAGTTTTCCCACTTAGAAAAATGGGAATAACAATAATGACCTCAAAGGTCTGCTGTGATATAAAACAATACCCATAAAGAGCTTAAAATAGCCCCTGACACATAAGAACCATTCAACAAATGTTAGCTATTCATTCCCTGTCCTTCTGCTTTCTTGGCAAACTAATCCTAAATCTATCATCAGAAGTTTGGAACATTATGAGCGAATATCCCAGGGCTGGGGGAGAGCCTTGAGAAACGCACAGTCTCCACCTCAGTTGCACCTCCAATGTTACAGGGCCGTGTTACTGCTCAAATATCCTCTCCCACCTCTCACAGGGAGGCTCATCCCTTACCTCTCTGAGAACGCTCCCTCTCTCCTTGCTCAATTGTCTCAGCAAATCAAGATCAGGAGATAAGAACTCTACACTTAGCACTGGGCAAGTTATTCTAAGCACACCCACCTGTGACCTTTTCTTTTGTCTGAGAGGAAGAGCTGCTCTTCCATGGGAGGGACCCCATTCCACTAGCTCCCCAAAACAAATGAGAGAATCGAGCTCTGGACTTCCTACACCACTACAGCCTCCTTGGAAGCCTGGCTCCATCTGACACGTCTTCTGTGTCTCAATGTCCTCTCCACTTGCTCCTTCTCATCAGTACTTATTTAATGCTCATTTCCAGAAAGAACAAAAACAAAACCCCTCATTTAACCCCGTCTCCCCTTCTACTCAATCCCCCTCCATCCTCCTTTTGCTAGTAGCCAAGCCTCTTGTAACTGTAGGCTCCATCTGCTAAATCCACTCCTTCACTCCCAGCCTCTCCTTCCTGACCACTTCCACAGAGGTCACTGATGGCCTCCTGACTATGAAGATAATGCACCTCCTTCACCCTGGATCTTACCTGACCTTCTACACTACTCATCTCATTGTAAACCTGACCTTCTACACTACTCATCTCATTGTGGGTAGTTACCAAGACAATTCACAGATTTCATAGCATTGAAATAATTTTTATACTGTAAGATTAGTATCAAAATCACCATAGTTTTTAAGTAAGATAGAACTTATAAAATTTGATTAAGTCTTTTATAAGAGAGAATTTCTGTAGTTTTCATTGCTTCTGCCTCCTAGTATATGTTTTTGGAGAAATATATATCTTATTGATTAAAGCGAGTATAGGATAAAATATCAGTGGTGAGATACCATTATAGATTTTTTTTTTTTAGCCTGTGTGTCACTGTTCCCCTCACAAGCTTTTTGAGGGCAATGACTGCAGTTTCACAAATCTGAATCACCTATAGTGTCTTCCAGAGTGCCCTTGGCATAGCAAGGGCAAGCGGAATAATGTACCTATGTAAGCACTTTAGGGATTAACATCACTTATTTGCATAAAATAGTTCTTATCTGCCAAAAAAGAGCAGGGCTCATGATATGCCTGTGCATGTGAGTATAATATGATCATGACATTATCCCTACTTTAGGAGGGGCAATTGAGGCTCAGAGGTCAGGAGATGTTAAGATTGCTAATCTAGGAAGTGACAGTCGAACGCAAATCTAGGTCTTCTGACAGAGCCCATGTTTGTCTCATTTAAATACCCCAGAAGAAAGGGAACACCAGTGGGGTGAGTATTGGATTGGCACAGAAAGCATGAGACCAAGAACCCTTAGATCTGCCAAAGGTTCTACTGTTACTGTTGATTCATTGGGTAACATGGATAAAATACTGCTTCTCTCTGCATTTCCATTGTCAAGAGAAGGAACTGAACTGGAGGCTCTCTAAGGCCTTTTCAAGCTTTCTCACTTTACAATAATAATTACTAAACATGAAAATGAGGGTATTATCATGACATTCAAGGACTTTCCAAATCCGGCCCTCGAACATCTGTAATCCAGATTCTGGACTGTCCCACCCAAGAGCCTATGCTTCAATCATTCTCACTACTTTGATGTTCTTCAACATCATTCCTCCCATCTCCGTGCTTTTGCCCAGGCTAAAGTCCACCTAGAATGCCCAGCTTTTCCTTTGTATGTTTAAAAAGATGCCTCTCAGCAATAACAACAAAACCCAACCAACCAAAACAAACACACAAAAAAGAATGCCTCTTAACAACAACAAAAAAACCCCTCCACCAACCAAACAAAAAAGAATGTTTCTTCCTTCTCTCTCAAGTATCCACTGCTAAGTTCTCTGTGAAGCCTTCCCCTACACTCTGAACCCCAAGCAGAGGTTGTTCCCTCCTTTGCTTCCTCTCCTCTTGTATGTATTCCTTTTACAATATTCATCACACCATACAGCCAGGAATTTGTTTACATGTCAGCTCCTAAATCAACTGTAAGCTACTTTAGGCAAAGATAATATCCTTCCTTTTATTCTGTTCTAGTGTGAAGGGCATTCAGCAACACTTGTTGAATAAATGAAGAGGAACTTACACAAAACCATCTATAACATTGAGGTAGGTAGCACATTTCTCAGAGGTGAGGTAACCTAAGGCCTCACAACTAGTGAGTTGAATAATCAGGATTTAAACCCAAGACTTACGAACTGCAGAGCCCACAATCTTTCTCCTGCCCCTTGAGTGTTAAAGCACCAGCTGAGAGAGGCTTTTGCCAGTGGGGACGGGGGTTAACATCAGTGGTAAGACCTCTGCATTGCTCCCAAACTGAAACAAACTTCTTCAATACTTTCAAATCGGTTTCAGCTTCTAACCAAGGAGTGTTGGCCCTTTGTTATTTTTGAAAAACAAGTTCTTTGCTTCAGCTTGAAAACCAGCTCTTTATGTCTGGTGGCAAGTCTCTCACTCTCTTCCAGGTCCACGTCCAGGAAGTCTGCTGTGTGAGTGGGTGTTCAGTGTGTGTGAGTCTGTGTATGTCAATGGCAGCCTCAGGGGAAACGGAGCAAACACGGGTGTGGACATTAGGAGGTCAGAAAAGGTTCTGTGCGGAGGACACATGTCTCAGATATTCTAGTAGAAGAGAGAGGAGTCACTATAAGTTACTAAGAGAATAGAGGAAATTCTGTTCCCGCCTCAACCTGGAGGCTCAACTGCCCCAGTTCCCAGAGGGGACTCCCTGGACAATCAATCATGGACAAGCTGAGCCCAGAGCAATTAAAGACATGGAAAGGCCAGCAGGTATTTTGAGTTTATTTTTTTCCAAGTAGAGCCTCACCTCCCATCCCACTCATCACTACTGACTCCACTTTCTCCTTACCTGGAGCATAACTGGGGCTATTGGTGGGATACAGGCTGGGGTTGTAGGCAGGGGCCGCAGCTGGATAGGCTGTGGGGTAACCTATGAAAAGACAGAAGAGAAAAAAAACAACCCTATTTAGTTGGGCAAGAAGAAAGATCTCTGAGGAAATGGAATCCAAGTCCCAGGCTAGGCCTTCAGCCTCTTCATGAGCCATTTCAGACTGTATATGTGACTGGTTTTAACCTTCTGAGAAAAATAGAAAATATATACATATTTTTCTATTTTTTAAAAGCAGTATAAGATATATATGTCTATATGCTCACTATTTAAAAAAAAAACAAACTGAAACACTATATAAGTATATATGGTAAAAGGTGTAACTCTACTTTCACATTCCTGCCACAACACTACTCTCCTCCGCAGAGACAGTAACAGTTTGGCATTTAAGTCTCCAGATAGTTTTCTATGCATTTTTATAAACACATATTCAGTGGTGTGCTGGTAAATATTTAACAACTGGCCCAAGGAAACTGCAGTGAAGCCCTATTTTGTATCACTTGCTGAGTTCCATGCTGTAAATACTCCCACCATGGCCAGTTTCAAGCCAGCAACATCATCAAATGAATAGTTGAGAAGAGATGCTCACAAGTGGCCCTAGAGAGCCACACAAGCCTGATCCAGTCCACCACTCATAGTATATATAGGGATTAAAATTTTTTCTATTGTGACAAAATATATGTAACAAAACTTGTGATTTGAACCATTTAAGTGTATAATTAAGTAGCATTCATTACATTCACAATGTTGTACAACCATCCTATGTATTTCTAAAACTTTTTAACTAATCCGAACAGAACTCTACCTATTAAGCAATAATACTCCATTCCCTCTTCCCATAACCTGTATTAACCTTTAATCTACTTTCTGTCTCTATAAATTTGCCTATTCTAGATATGTTATATACAGGGAATCAAATACTATTTATCCTTTTGTGTCTGGCTTCTTAACAGAATTAAGCTCATCCATGTTTTAGTATGTATCAGAACTTCAATCCTTTTCATGGATAAGTAATATTCCACCATATATACACGTATATATACACACACCAACTTTGTTTTTCAATTCATTTGTTGGTGGACACTTGGATATTGTGAATATCTTTTGGATATTGTGAATAATGTCACGGAGAAAGTAAGATTTCCAGAAAGACTTGAAGGAAATAGTTAACCAAGCAGATGGCTGAAGGAAGAGCATTTCAGATGAAGGAAATACTCAGCACAATGGCTCTAAGTTGGGGGTATATGATATGGGAGATGTCTGAGGAACAGTGAAGAGGCCAGTGTAGCTGAAGTGGAACAAATGAGGAGGAAAGAGGCAGTAGATGAGTCAGATAAAAGGCTGGGCACTGTAAGGACTTCAACTTTTACTCTGAGTGAAATGAGAAGCCATGACGGGATCTTGAGCAGAATAATAACATAATCTGATTTAGGCTTGAAAAACGTCACTGTGCTGTGTGGAAAACAGACCATAATGGGGGAAGAATAGAGAAGCCTAGAGACCAGTTAGGAGCTACTATAAACTCCTTGCATGGATGACAGGGCTCAAATCAGGGAAACAGCAGCAGAAATGATGAGAAGTGACATGCTAAGAGACTTCACATACTTTGCACACATTGCTTTCTAGAAAGACTATCAATTTGTACTCGCACTAGCAGTGTGTAAGTGCCTGTCTCACTGCTCACTACAGTTTTTTTTAATGCTCATTGGTATTTTGACTGACAATGGAAAGCTGATTTTAAAAGTCAAAGATTAAATCCCTAAATCCCTAAAAGCTTCTTTGGGATTTGTAAATACTGAGCTTTAATAATGTATCTTTGTTAATATGCCTTTCCCTAAATCCTTTCCAACTCCAAAGAAAATTCATCTCTCTCTACTCCCCAATCATTTTCTGACTTGAGAGCCAAGGCAGCCAACTTGTTGTCACTTGATTAGTAACATGCTGCTGCTAAGTCGCTTCAGTCCTGTCCAACTCTGCGCGACCTCATAGACAGCAGCCCACCAGGATCCCCTGTCCCTGGGATTGTCCAGGCAAGAACACTGGAGTGGGTTGCCATTTCCTTCTTCAATACATGAAAGTGAAAAGTGAAAGTGAAGTCGCTCAGTCGCGTCCTACTCTTAGCAACCCCATGGACTGCAGCCCACCAAGGCTCCTCCGTCCATGGGATTTTCCAGGCAAGAGTACTGGAGTGGGGTGCCATTGCCTTCTCCGAATTAGCAATATGGAGGTCTGCTAAAGTCAAGGGTTTAATCTAGAAAACAAAGTGATCTGGTCTCATGGCTGAAATCTGTATTCAGCTTCATGTGAGAGATGTCACAGCCAAGAGTAATCACACCCCTATTACATCATTTCAGATGTCTTTTACTTTTAGGGGCAATTATAGGATCTTCCTTCAGTGTTTCTAAGAATTTTTTTTCACTTGAATTTGGCAGGTATCAAAGAACGGCAGCATTAGAAAGACCTTCATTTTCTAGGTGACATTCTCAGGCTAAGAGAAAGGCAGGGACTTAGGTTCACAGATTTGCAGAGATTAGAAGTAACTTCAAGGCCATTTGGTCCACCCTCACATTTGAGACTAGGGCTCCTCTACAACATATTCATGGCATCATTCATCTCTGCCCTTAAATCTCTACTGACCACAAACTCTTTCCTTTCATGAGACTCAGCACCCTCCTCCACTGTGAGACTGCTCTGATTGTCTGAAAGTGACTTATACTTCACTGAACTCTATCTGCATCTTTCTATCCTGTAGAACAGAACAAATTTGAAGACACATGCATCCCCAACGACAGAATTTATCACAGAGTACTTCAATGGTTTCTTTACATTCCCTGTCCTTCCCCCTTTCCTCAACCTGTAAGTTTCTTGAAGGCATAGCTATGTCTTCTTTGCCTGTACACAATAGTGCTTGATCAGGTCCTCTTTCCTACTCCTTGAGCAAACCACCACCTCCTCTCCTCAACCCGGACAGCAAGCATCCAAGCTTCTCAAACACAGGCTCAGTTCAGTTCAGTCGCTCAGCCGTGTCCAACTCTTCACAACTCCATGAACCGCAGCACGCCAGACCTCCCTGTCCATCACCAACTCCCGGAGTCCACCCAAACCCATGTCCATTGAGTCGGTGAGGCCATTCAAGCATCTCATCCTCAGTCATCCCCTTCTCCTCCTGCCCTCAATCTTTCCCAGCATCAGGGTCTTTTCAAATGAGTCAGCTCTTCCTATCAGGTGGCCAAAGTATTGGAGTTTCAGCTTCAACATCAGTCCTTCCAATGAACACCCAGGACTGATCTCCTTTAGGATGGACTAGTTGGATCTCCTTGCAGTCCAAGGGACTCTCAAGAGTCTTATCCAACACCACAGTNATATCTTTCCTTTTCTCCTTTGCTTTTTGCTTCTCTTCTTTTCACAGCTATTTGTAAGGCCTCCTCAGACAGCCATTTTGCTTTTTTGCATTTCTTTTTCTTGAGGATGGTCTTGATTCCTGTCTCCTGTACAGTGTCACGAACCTCCATCCATAGTTCATCAGGCACTCTATCAGATCTAGTCCCTTAAATCTATTTCTCACTTTGCTGTATAGTCATAAGGGATTTGATTTAGGTCATATCTGAATGATCTAGTGGTTTTCCCCACTTTCTTCAAACACAGGCTAGGGATGAATAGTCTGTGTGGTCAGCAGAGAATATCTCTTCCCCACCATCAACTTCCTCTGTCCAGAAAGAGTATCATAGGTAAGCTGGGCTTCCTCCCAAAAATGTTCCTGGTTTTGTTTTGCTCATTTTGTTTCCTTATCCCTAACTCGTATTACTCATCCTACTGCCTCTTTTAATGCTGCTTGGATCTCTGGTGTCTAGCACAGATAAGGCCTAGAATTTGTTGTGCTTTAGTTGTTAAATCATGTCTGACCATTGAGACTCCATGGACTGTAGCCCATCAAGCTCCTCCAGGCAAGAATACTGGAGTGTGTTGCCATTTCCTTCTCCAGGGCATCTTTCCAACCCAGGGATTGAACCTGTGTCTCTGACTCAGCGGATTCTTCACTGCTGAGCCACTGGGGACTAGATGCCATGACCCACCACTGGATGGACATCCGGTCCCATCACTTCATGGCAAATAGATGGGGAAACAATGGAAACAGTGACAGACTTTATTTTGGGGGGCGCCAAAATCAATGCAGATGGTGATTGCAGCCATGAAATTAAAAGACGCTTGCTCCTTGGAAGAAAAGCTATGACCAACCTAGAGAGCATATTAGAAAGCAGATACATTACTTTGCCAACAAAGGTCTGTCTAGTCAAAGCTAATGGTTTTTCCAGTAGTCATGTATGGATGTGGGAGTTGGGCTATAAAGAAAGCTGAGTGTCGAAGAATTGATGCTTTTGAACTGTGGTGTTGGAGAAGACTCTTGAGACTCCCTTGGACTGCAAGGAGATCCAACCATCCATCCTAAAGGAGATCAGTCCTGAAGACCCTGATGCTGGAAAAGATTGAAGGCAGAAGGAGAAGGGGACAACAGAAGATGAGATGGTTGGATGGCATCACTGACTTGATGGACATGAGTTTGAGCAAGCTCTGGGGGTTGGTGATGGACAGGGAAGCCTGGCGAGCTATAGTCCATGGGGTCACGAAGAATTGGACACGACTGAGCGACTGAACTGAACTGAGCCATCTGGGAAGCCCCAAGGCAGAGAGTAGGTCCTCAAGAAATATATGACTCAGGGGCTGTATTTTGGAGCTATGGAAGGTTTAAAAACAAAACAAATCCAAGAGGATTCCTGGCCTTGAAAAGGTCACCAAGTAATGAAGGAGAAAAACAGATAAGAGGACAACTGGAATGCACCCTGAAAAGTGCCTGACAAGGCTGTCAAGTGAGAAGAGAAGGGGCCTTCAACAACCATTTATTTAGTACCTATTGTCTGCCAGGGATTATACTGGGTACTAGGTGTCCCTGGATGCAGACAAAAAAAAAAAGGGAGGGAGAACATTCCAGGCAGAAGGATGAAGGGTAGCATTTTGGGGACATCCATAAGAAGCTTGGCTTGTTC